GCCTTTAAAAACAGTAACACAAAACCTATAAGTTGTATAAGAAATTTGTTTTTGCTTTTTTTTTTTCTTTTTACGTGTTTGGTACACGGTTTCGCTATGCAGCTCGGATTCCTAGTGATCTTCCTGTTTTCAGCCTTCCCAGTGCTGGGATTACAGGGTTGCACCACCAAGCCCAGACTCCAGCACTGGCTCAGTGCACTCTGGGAGCAAGGCCAAAATGGCTTGCGGGACCTGGGATCAAACTCCTGTCATTGCACTTGCCAAAGCAGTAAAACATAAAATTATTTATTTATGTATTTGATAAAAGGTGCTATGCACCTCAGACTTCTAGTGATCCTCCTGTCTCAGATTCTGCAGCACAGAGATTACAGGTATGCGCCACCACACCCAGTTTCCATGGCCGGCACTGTGCCCCCAAAGTTCCTGGGCCCACACAGCATGTGGTATAGGGGATCAGACTCGGGGTCCTTGTGCTTGCCAAGCAGGTCCTTAGACCACTGAGCTATTTCCCCAGTCTTTAGACATTCTTAAATGATTACACAAAATGAAAAAATAGAAAAAAAATTCCCAAAGTAAAAAAACAAAAGACAGGGGCCGGGGAGATGTCTCAGTAGAATAAGCGCTTGTCTGGCAAGCGCAAGGTCCTGAGTTCAATCCCCGGTTCTGCCAAAAAAAAAAAAAAAAGACAAACTGGCAAAAATATCTACACAGAGTTTATTTCCTCAATATATACATCAGTAAGGAAAAGACCAAGGACTGAACAAAGAATGTGAATAGTAAGTTCATAACAAAATATATTTAAGCATATGAAATGAAATTCAACTTATTCACATTAGAGATACAAATTAAAACTATAAGATACTGTTCTTTGTTAGATTAGTAGAGCAAAAGATAAAGAAGTTTGATAATCCTTAAGCATATAAACAGCACATTCTTTTACCATTGGACACTAGGCCCTTTTTAGAGGAAGCTAGGCAATATCTTTCAAACTGAAAGGCATATGCCTCTTAACAGTTCCATTTATAGGAACTTATCCTACCTATACAATCATCCATGATCATCCATGAAACCAATGTAATATATATAGTGTATATTTCTAAATATAGGTACAGTAATTGCAGTATTGACTACTGATCAATAAGGGCTCCTTTGTTGTAGTATACCTAATAGAATTCTAAGAGGCAGGTTAGTATCAATAGGGATCAAAAACCAATATACATTATTAAATAAAAGAACAAGGTACATTATAGTGTATGATGAAGAAACAGTGTATAATATTTACTTGTGGGGATGAAGAGCAGGGAAAAGATGTAGGGGACTTCTTTTTCATGCTGTCCTTCTTTTGATTTTTGTTCAGATAACGTGAGTGTTATTGTCTCTTCTAGAAAGAAATATAAATTGAAGTACAAATAATTATACAGCTTACTCTGCCAGTTAATGCCAGACCAGCTCTTCCCTGGGAAGGCATAAAAGAGAGTCTGTATTTGCCCAGTATAAAACTCCTCATGTCCTTCTTTATGCTGCAGTTCGTATTTAACTCTTGAGACCTCTGCTGGCTCAGTAATTTTCACTGTGAAAGCCTAGTGATAGTTCTTCCTGCCCTAAGCCAGGCCAGAATTTGCTTTGTCTCAGTTCATAATCTGTCTGTGACAAGTATGTCCACCAGCTAGATTTTCCTTCCTGCAAACACCAGGCCTGTCAGAGCAGCAGACAGACTTGGCTAGGTAGGGGCTTCTGGGTGACACATTCAGTCTTAGCGGTGCCCCAGAAGGACTTCTATGCTTTTTGGCTCCTGATATTTTGCAGAGTAGTGGAGTGAGGTGGGAATAAAAAGAGAAGTGTAGTTTCCTCTGTTGAGAACTCGTTTTTTATAAGGCAGCTTCATATACACACATATGGGAGGGGAGAGGGCCACCCATCACATTCCTAAGAAGCACAAAGGACAGTCATGGACACTCAGTGAAGAATAATCATGAGGTCTTTCTCTCTTGTTTCTGTTTCAGGGAAGAGGGATTTCATGAAAAGAAATCAGAAGCAGCTGCAGAGAAACTGAAGTTAGGGTACCCTCCTATTGCTCCATTTTACTGCATGAAAGAAGATGTCCTTGCCTATGTGTTTGACAATGTGTGGAGCAAGGTTGTGAGCTGTTTGGAACAGGTGACACGTAGTCACTGGGAGGGATTTGCTTCTGGTAAGGATCTTTGTGAAAATACTGTCAAAAATAATTGTTTATGATCCCCACACTCTAACCGGTCTATTAGGTTATGAGCTTTATTAGTGTAAATGGTGCATATAAAAGATAGGAAAACCAAAGTGATTTTTCCTACTCTTATGTAGCACAAATCTGATGCCAGGTATATAGGGACTTTCCCCCATATACCAGATTTCTCTAGTGGACAAAACTGGGTGTCCTGTGATTGAGTTCACATCTGACTCTGTCTACCTAGAGATAGCATCAGAGGTCTCACAGGTTAAGGACTCGGTCTCAAAAGATTGCTCCACCTCATATGACAGTTGTAGGCTACAATGACCTGTGCCTCTGAATGACTTGTGGTAGCTTAGAATTCCTATGACTCCCTCCTCAGGCTTGATTAATTTGCTAGGATGGCTTGAAGAACTTAGGAAACACATTAACTGCATTATTATAGTACTCAGGAGGCTGAGGCAGGAAGAGCACAGGTTCAAGACCAGCATGGGCAATTTAGTGAGACTGTGTCCAAATAAAATAAAAAAGAGTAGTGCTAGAGAGCTCAGTGGTGGAGTGTAGGAGTCCCTTCCTGGTTTTTGTCTCAGTCCAAGAAGTTAATATTTGTAATCCTTTTGTAATCCCAAAGATAGTTATTGGAATCCCACCAAGTTAATTTCAGTCTACCACTCCCAGTGCAACCTACAGCGAAAGTAAAGACACTAAAACATACTTATAATTATTGGGGAGCCAAAGGGCCCTAAATCTAGCCACAAAGATGGCTTTCTGGAACAAAGAGGCTGACCCAGGGCCTCACCTGGTTTTACTCAGTGGAGGAGTGGCTTGAGGAGGAATGACCAAGCATTTTGGAAAGTAGGTGACTACTGTGAGCTGAGCTAGTGGGTGGCCTGCATTTACTTCTGCCATATGCAGAGAGGATATACAGAGAAAGTAATCTGCTTTATGTTATTGAGATAGTATCTAATGTTTTGGGAGGTCTGGTGCTTCAGCTTTGATGTAGTCTTTTAAGCCCCAGAAAGTAATAGCCTCTGTCTCGAGGCTCAATCCCAGCTGGCTGCGCAGAGCATTGTCTCTTCGTCCTATCTCAACCCGGCTCACATTAAGGAGCAGCAGGTATAGTTTATCAGGGAAACAGGCATGCCACCTTCAAAGACTCTCACCAGCACCTCAACTAGACCAATATACATTGCTTAAGGCCAACTGAAAGGATAAACAGAAGTCCTAGCCAGCTCTATATATATCAATGCAAGGAAATAGGGTTAGGCTCAGTCAAAATAGAGACAGTCGCTCTTCTTTCAAGGAGAGCTGCTCAGGTGATCCTCTACAGTAGAGTACTTGCCTAGCATGTGCAACTGCCAGGCAAGCACAAGGGCCTGAGTTCAATCCCTGGTTCAAAAAAAAAAAAAAAAATACAGGACAGAACTAGAATTCAGATTCAAACAGATATCCAGGTCATTAAAGAATTCCATCGAAAGCTGGAAAAACACTTGAATAAAGCTGAAGATAGAATTTCAGAACTTGAAGACAGCATTGCAACTAGTCAACAGAAAAGGAAAGATCTCTTAAAAATAACAAGGATCCAGGAAATATCAACAGCTGCAAGAAGATGCAAAGAAAAATAACATAAGACTAAAAGGTATCAATGAAACAGGTAGAGTTAACAAAATGACATAACAAGATTGTGTGCTGAACAGCAGAAAATTTCCCCAGCATGGGAAAAGAATCTGGCATATAGTGAGGCATGTACAACTGCAGCTAGCTGTAAGCAAAATAAATCTTCATCAAAACACATAATAATCAAGATACAAGAAATTGAGAAAAAAGAACAGAATATTAAAAAGCTGGCACAGAGAAGAAATAGATCACCTATAATGGAAAGCCTATCAGAATCACAGCAGATTTCTCACCACAGACCATCAAATCAAGAAGAGCTTGGAGTGAAGTATTTTAGGTCCTGAAAGAAAATAACTTCCAACCCAGACTGGTGTAGTCTGCAAAACTATCTGTCAAATTTAATGGAGAGATAAGATCCTTCCATGACAAAAACGAAGAAATTCATGACCACTAAACCAACCTTACAAAGAGTACTGACTGATATTTTAGAAAAAGACAAAAATGACACCTTCAAAAACAACAGAAAAGAACCTCAAACTACAGCATGCAATTAAATGGGAAAAATAGGGATCCTACAGTAGGAAAATAACATGACAAAATAAGCCAATAATATCAGTTATCACTATTAATGTAAATGGCCTAAATTCACCAATCAAAAGAAACAGGCTGGCAGAGCAGATCAAGAAACAAAATCCAATGATATAAACAAACACATTTAACTAAAAAAGAAATAGACTGAAAGTTAAAGGATGGAAAACAATACTCCACTGGACAGGGACCCAGAAAAAAGCAGGGCAGCTATTCTGGTTGCTGACAATGTCAACTTCAAACCAAGATTGACTGAAAGAGATAAATAAGGTCACTGCATACTTGCTAGGGGAAAACTGCAAGAAAAAAAAGATACCAATTATAAATATATATGCACCCAGTATAGGTGCACCCAACTGTATCAGACAAATTTTAACACATAAAAAGCAAATGAGCAATAACACAATTGTGGGGGAATTTTAATACCCCATTGACACAAAGAAATAGATCAAGTAAGCAAAAGATCAGCAAAAAAAAAAAATAAGAGAACTAAATCAAACTTGTGAAAAAAAATAGACTCCATAGAGTGTTCACCCAACAATGTCAGAAAACACATTTTTCTCAGTTACACATGGGATATTCTCAAAAATATCATATACTAGCTCAAAGACCATGCTTAAGTAAATGCCAAGGAATGGGAATTATCCCATGCATATTATCTGACCATAGTGCAATGAAACTGGAAATTACCAGTTCCAGTTTCCAGAAAGAAACTGCAAAAACTCCATAAACACATGAAAACTAAATAACACCCTCCTGAATAATCAATGGATCACAGATAAATTAAAGAAGACATTAATATTTACAATCAACCAAAAATGCAGATATAACTTCCTGGAACCTGTGGGATACAATAAAAGCTGTCTAGAGGAAAATTTATAGCGGTAACTTTACACATTAGGAAAACAGATCTAGCCCAAATAAACAATCTTATGCTGCACCTCAAGCTCATAGAAAAAGAGCAAGTCAAGCCCAAAGCTAAGGCAGGAAATTATAAAGATCAGAGCAGAAATAAATGCAATGAAGATGAAGAAAACAATACAAATAATTAATAAATTGAAGAGCTGGTTCTTTGAAAGATAAATACAACTGATAAACCCCTAGCCAACCTAATCAAAAAAGGAAAGAAAAAATTCAAATTCATGCAATAAGAATTGAAGAGGATAAATCACTATGGACCCTACAGAAATTCAGAGTACCATCAATACCCAATTCCAAAATCTTTGCTGTCACAGGATAGGAAACACAGAATAAATGGGCAGATTCCTAGATACATGCAAACTACCAAAGCTAAATCAAGAAGACAGAAAAATTCTGAATAACCCAATATCAGTGAGTGAATTCGAAAATTAATAAAAAATGTACCAACAAGATCTCAAGTCCCGATGTATTCACAGTTGAATTCTACAAGAAATTTGAAGAACATCTAAGGCCAGCTACTCTCCAACTCTTCAATGAAATCAGAAGGGAAGCAATCCTCCCAAACTCATTCCTGGAGGCAAGTATTACTCTGATTCCAAAACCAGAGAAAGATCCAACTAAAAAAGAGAACTACAGGCCAATCTCTCTAATGAATAAGGTGCAAAAATCCTCAATAAAATACTGGCAAACAATGCAGCAAGTCATCAAGAAGATTATACATCATGACCAAGTGGGATTCATCCCAAGAATGTAGGGATTGTTCAACATATGCAAATTCATAAATGTATATACCACATCAACAGAGCCAAAAACAAAAGCCATATGATCATCTCAATAGATGCAGAAAAAACTTTTGACAAAATCCTACTCTCATTCATGATAGAAACCCTACAGAAAATCGGAATACATGGTCTTTAACCTGATAAAAGCCATCTTTTATCATACATGCCAACATCATACTAAATGGACAAAAACTGAAAGTCTTCATGTCAAAATCAGGAACAACACAAGGATGCCCACTGTCACCATTCCTGTTGAATATAGTTCTGGAAACATTAGCCAGAGCAATTAGACAAGAGAGAGAAAAGGAATGATTGGAAAGGAAGAAGTGAAATTATTCTTTGCAGATAACATGATACTTTATATAGAAGATCCCAAAACTCCAAGAGTCTTGTAGATTTAATAAACAAATTCAATAGCATAGTAGGATACAAAGGCAACACTCAAAAATCAACAGCATTTCTATACACAGTGAGCACACTGAGAGAAAAATTAGGGAAACCACACCTTCCACAAGAACACCCAAAAAACTGAAATACTTAGGAATCAATCTCACAAAGGAAATAAAAGATTTATACAATGAAAATTATACCTGGCAAGCACAAGGCCCTGAGTTCAATCCCTGGTTCCACCAAAAATAAAAGAAAAAGAAAATTATAGTACTCTGAAAAGAGATCAGAGAGGATTTGAGAAAATGGAAAGATATCCCTTGCTCCTGGATAGGAAGAAACAACACTGTGAAAATGGCCATATTCCCAAAATTGTTACTCATATTCAATGCAATCCTGATTAAAATACCATTAGTATACCTCACAGAGCTACAGAAAATATTCATAAAATTCATCTGGAACCAAAAGAGACCTAGAATAGCAAACGCAATCCTGAGCAACAAAGAAAAAGCAGGAGGTATTACAATCCCTGACTTGAAATTATACTACAAAGCCACTCTGATAAAATCAGCACATACTGGCAAAAAAAAAAATGAACCTGAGGCTCAATGGAACGGGTTAGAAAATGCAGACACAACTACAATTCTCGTTCATCTTGTCTTTGAAAAAGGAGCCAAACATGTTCACTGGAAGACAGTCTCTTTAATAAATGGTGTTGGAAAAACTAGCTTTCCACATGCCAGAGGCTAAATTAGACCCATGCCTATCACCATGCAAAAAAACTACAGTCAAAATGGATAAAAAATTTAAATATTAAAACTTAAACACAATCTTTTGGAGGAGAAAGTAGGTAGAAATCTTAAAGACATACAGGTAGGTAGAGCATTTATGAACAAAAACCAAACTGCATAGGAAATATTTCCAAGAATCAAAAATTGGGATCTCATCTTTTTAAAAAACTTGTGCATGTAAAAAAAATGAACAAAGTAAAAAGAGAACCTATGAATTGGGGAAAAGTTAACAGTTGACTGTCCCTCGTACAAAGGACTTCTATCTAGAACATATAAAGAATTAGAAAAATATCAGGCCCCCAAAATTCAAAGACTCAGTCCAAAAATGAGCATATGTGATGAATATACACTCCACAAATGAGATACAAATGGCAAATAAATATATGAAAAAATGTTCAACATCATTGGTCATTCAAGAGATGCAAATTAAAGCTGAGATTCCATCTTCCACCAGAAAGAATGGCTATCATCAAGAAGTCAACCAATAAAAATGCTGGAGGGCCTGTGGAGAAAAAGGAACCCTTCTCAACTATTGGTGGGAATGTAGATTGGTACAACCACTGTGTAAATCAGTGTGGATATTCTTCAAAATAAGATTGCAGGTTCCATTCCAGCCAGCTATACTCCTACATATTTTTCCAAAAGGAATGCTACACCATTACTACAGCAATGTATGTGCACCCATGATTACAGTAGCACAATGTCATAGCTAAATCTTGGAAACAACCAAAATGCCCATCAACTGAGGAATGGATGAAAAAGATATGGTTTGTGTATTTTTAAATGGATTACTACTCAGCTATAAAAAAGATAAACTCAAGGCTTTTATAGGTAAATGAATGCAACTAGAGACTATTGGTAAGTAAAATAAATCAGACCTATATGTGCAAACATTGTATTGTCTCACTATTGTGAGAACCTGAAAGAGTAAATACAATCTGAAAAGTACAATAGATACTGTGAAAGGAAAAGAATCTGTTTAAAGGGAAGAAAAAACTGTGATGAAGAAAAGGACAAAAGGGAAAAAGATATTCATGTATATGTGTAGGATAGTTTGGATAATTGTGCTACTGATTTCCGCTAGTTGATTGAAAAGAGCAGTTAATGGTTAAATTTTTTAAATTTCTTACAATTTATTATTTTTTTACTAACTTTGCAGGTTTATATTGGGTAACCTAAGCAACTAATTTAAAGATAACATGCAATACAACAACCACTGTCAAATTCTTACTATTTTGTTTAATGAAATTTTGTCTTTTTTTTTATCATTTTGTGATAAAAATAAAAAAGGGGGGTGGGGAGATAGCTCAGTGGTCTAAGTACCTGTTTAGCATTGCAAGGACCTGGGTTCAATCCCTGGTACCACATGCCATGCTGCCATACTGACCACCAAAACCAGGCATGATGGCATACTCCTGTAATTTCAGTACTGGGGAGGCTAAAACAGGAGTATTAGGGGGCCAGGGAGATGGCTCAGTAGAATAAGCGCTTCCCTAGCGAGCACAAAGGTCTAAGTTCAATCCCTGGCTCTGCAAAAGAAAAAAAAAAAAAAAAAAAGGATCACTATGAGTCTGAGCTGCATAGCAAGACCCTATACCAAATAAATAAATATTAAAAATTATAATTTGTTGATCATAGGAACCACATTTTAAGTTGCTTGTGGCTGCAGTACTAGACAGCACAGATATAAAACAATTCTATCAACTCCAAACCATCACATACTTTTGCTCTAGGTATTTTTCCATGTCCTTCTTCTGGATACCAGGTATTACCATCCTGGAAAACCTTGTACACCAAACTCTGAGTATAAGGGGATTTATTTTTTAATTGGGTTGCAAAAGCCTTGCTAGAGATTACAGATTCTCAAGGGAATTTTTTTTCTGTACCATTGCTGTGAGTCAGAAGATACTCATGGGTAAAATATGTGTCCTTTGCTCAGATGATGAAAGTAATGTTGGAACCACCAGGCTGGATGCAGAAAGTCCCTGTGTGCTGAGTGAACCACATCCTTTGGTGTTACCACGAGTGCCACAGTCTAAGATGCTGTCCGTTACCTCAAATCTGGTACATGCTAGATGGAACTTAGAACTGTTGTCAGATGAAATTTGCTTCGAAATTATTTTATATAATTGGGTACTCTTTATACATTTGTGTTTATTATAACAATGACTCTTTGCAAGGATCAGTTTCAGTGTAATAGCAAATTGGGGTTGCTAAATAATTCTTAGACTCCCTTGCAAAGAGCCATCTGTAAGTTGTGCAGTCTAGATTCAACTGTGTGGTCAGCCTAAGTCTATTTGGGGAAGAACGAAGAATATCATTATGAGGAGAGGGACTAATAACAGATTTTCTGTGCTTTTAACATCTGTCCCTTAAACCCCTTTTCATCCCCTTTCCACTTTTTTCCCCTTTTAACTCATGATACTTTTTTTTTTTTTTTTTTTTTTGGTGGAACCGGGGACTGAACTCAGGCCCTTGCACTTGCCAGGCAAGCACTTACTCTACTGAGCCATCACCCCAACCCCTTTTTTGTTTATAATATATGAATGACTTTTTTGTCTGTGGATATTTACCTCAATAAAAAAGTCAAGGGGAAGAGAAAACCTCCTTAAAATAAATCTATGAACAAAGACAAAGTTAATCATTTCTGGCCAAAGGCTAATGAGCTTGATCTCATCCCTATATGATTTATGTAATGCAATTTCCTACATGATGGATTCCTAACCTTACTTATGGCACAAAAAGGGAGGGTGGGGGGAGAAATTAATCTTTGTGATATGTTTATGAACCCTGGATTTTACTACTATTTTTGTTTTTCTTTTCTTTTTTTTTTTTTTCTTGCGGAACCGGGGATTGAACTCAGGCCTTTGCACTTGCCAGGCTCTACGGTATTTCCGTAGAAGCTTTTTCAGTATACTGGCCAGATATTATACAGCTAGACTCACAAAAGAGATATTAAAAATAAAATCAGCAAGGCTCATTACCTACCCACCACATCAGGAACGAACCAAGCAAACCGATCTCTGTTGGTGGTGACCAAGCACTCTAAACTGGTCTGGCTGTGGTTTAGATAGTCTTAACCCTACATAATTAACTAGATGGTTCTGCTTAATGACCAAAGGATGAAAAAAGATTAACTCAAACACTCTTGAGAAAAAGAGGGCTGGAGAGATGGCTCAGTGGTCTAAAGCACCTACTTGAAACAAGCTTGGCAAAGCACAGGGACCTCGGTTCAATCCTCCAGCACCACATGCCAGCCAGCCCCGCCCCCTGGTGGGCTGAGCTGGCCACACACACACACAATAAATAAATGTAATAAATAAAAAAATTTAAAAAAAAAAGAAAAAGAAAGAAAACATACTCTGGTAGAGGAGGAGATGGCAGAAAAGGCACTGAGCTGATCTGAGTAAACAAGCAGTGCCAGTCCAAATAAGATTAAATCTTGGTACCAGTGGAATAAATAGGATAATTCCTAATAAAGTCTTCAGGATTTAAGTTATCAAGTCAGGCGTGGCAGTATGTACCTGTAGTCCCAGGCAGTAGGAAGGCTAAGATAGAATCATTTGAGCCCAGGAGTTTGAGAGTAGCCTAGGCAACTTAGCAAGATGCCATCTTAAAACAAAACGAAAACCAGGATTTACGTTATCATCGAGAGCTGACTGCACCCCAGGTAGTGAAAGAGGTTAAATCTGTATATAATTTAGGATTAATCTGTAGTTGTTAGACAGTCAGTAGTTAGAGTGTTGAATAGAGTTCAAGATTATGTGATGTCAGGTTAAGTTTACCCTTCTTTGTTTCTATTGTTCCTCATTTATTTGCGAATTTTCTAAATTTTGTTACTATTGTAAACACCATAGCAGTCATCTCTGTTCTATCAGAGCAGCTGTTAATTGTTTTCATAGGACATCTTCAACCTGCTGTCATTTAGAAATGGAGAGGATAGAAAAGGACCTTGTCCTCAGGAATACAGACCAAGATATCATAAAAGTTAAGGCACAGAAAGAAAATGTATAAATATCTAATTGGAAAAAACTAACTTCTGACAAAATTAGAAAATCAAACAGATATCTTAACCAATCAATAATGAGTAACATCTTCTTTTGACACTTAGATGAGTTTCTGTCAAGCAAGCAGTCACCAGCCAAATGTGAATGGTCTCTTGGTTCATGGGATGCCTCTACAGCCAAGAAATCTCTCTCTAATGGACAAACTCCTGTAAGAAGTATAAAACTTAAGACTACACAGTTTAAATCTATCACTAGTAAAGAGAAAGCAAAGTCAGTTCATCCCCATGCCTTCCTGAGTACCCTACAGATATACCCAGGGATAAAATGTCCAAGGACATAATCTCCATCTGCAGGGAGCTGGTAACTGAAGACACATGTTTTTTAAAAGGCCTAACCATGTAAGAGGTTTTAGTGACTGCCAGACATGGTATGGGAGCCCCAAAAAGGAGGCATTTTGGTGGGTAAGTTTAGGTAAGAATTTGGATAAGCAGAGAAGAGCAATAGAGCCATTCTAGGTGGGAAGAAAAGTGTGGAAGAGGTTTGGAACATCTAAGAAAGAGACTATCCCATGCTACAATGGGATAAGAAGACAGACATCAGAACTTTAATGCTTCTGGTCAAATATAATTGACAATTTTCCAAATTAAAATAGGCCATGAATCAGCTATTCTTGTTTTGAACATCTGTAACATATGCATTGTTATATGTTACCCTGTTTCTGTCTCTTTCTGATTTTTTGTTCTTGCTTTTTACTTTTCAAAATAGAATTAAATTTTAAAAACTAAAATAAAATAGGTTATGTTATGATTAGTGGGAAGGAAGAAGGGATGATGAAACTAAGGGACATTGTGCCCAGGCTGTGATGGTTTTGAATGCCATGTTTTTGAGATTCATCCGTGTTGTTGTACGTGACCGTCTCTTGCTGTAGTAGTCCACTGTAGGAACACATGGCGATTTGTCCTCCTGTTAACATTATGATTATTTCCAGGTTGGTGCTCTTATACATAAAGGCACTATAAATATTTTTTCAGGGGGCCTGCCCCTTAGCTCAGTACTTTCAGTGGCTGCTTCAACAAAGCAGTCAGGCTCAGGTTGCTGTGGTTCGATCCCCACAACTCAAGCCAGCCAAACCTGCCCTGGAGGCATTCGGAGCAAAAAATATATATATATATATTTTTTTTTTCAAAGATCTTTTTTGTGGACATATGGTCACATTTTTTTTGAGTCAATACCTAGAAGTGAGTGATACAATAGCTACGTTTTATAAGAAACTGCCATACAATTTCCCTAAGTATGTTATACCATTTTATATTCCCACCAGCAATATTAGTTTCATAGGGAAGCACATACATTTAAATCAGGAATATGAAAGGCGTGTCACATCAATGAAATATAGACTAGACTGCAGTAGGAGGAATTCAAAATAAGGCATCAACACAAGGGTTTGGTCTGCACTTAAGCAGCAGCACAGGATAGGAAGGAAATGAACTTGAGGTAATTTGAAAAAAACAAAATTCTATACAAACAGGAATCAACGTTCAAGGGAAAGTTGTTTCACAGGAAAAAGGAGTTTCTTTTGGGCTATGTTCAATTTACAGTGATGAGCCATCGACTGCAAAATGTGGAAGAGATCAGATTTGGAGACTATAAAGGTCAGCTGGTTAGAGAGGATTACTGAACCTAGAATCATGCATGAGAAGCTCACAGGATAAAGATGAGCATAAGGCACCTAAAAAGCAGTGATGGGCTGGGGAGCTGTAGCTCAGTGGTACAGCGCCTGCCTAGTAAGTAAAAGGCCCTGAGTGCAATTCCCTATGTGTATGTGTGTGTGTACACACACACACACACAGAAGTTTGAAGAACAAAAAAAAGCATGGGTAAGTGAATGATTTGGAAGCAGGAAGACACGAAAGGCCTCTTGCCACTCTCGAGATTTGGGCTTGTTCCTTGATGGACACTCTCCCTTCAAAGTCCTCAAAACACTGAAGCATGTTTTGTCCTAGAGGACAACAAAATGGCCTGAAAAGCTGAGACTTCGAAAAGCCACATGAACAGGTGGCAGAACTTAGCTGCTGCTTTAACTTACCCTCCATTTTACTTGGCAAATACTAGTTCACGTTCTCACATGGTTTAAGAAAAAAACTCAGAAAAATCTCCCAACCTATAAGGCAGTATTTAAGATATTAAACTGTTAGGCATAGTACGGAAGGGTTGTATTTCTCAAATGTTTATGCAAATGTGATCTATTGTGGTCTCATTACACTGGACATCCTTGCCTTACTCCCAAATTGTAATTATCCTGGCTCCGGGTCCTGCAGAATTGCTGTCTCAAACTTCCATTTTAAAGTGTCCCCTTTTATGATGAGATTCTCATGGCTGTGCGCTAGATTACCTTCTGGAAACTAAGTTACTTACTAAAAGGTTTTTGTTACCTCCCCTAAATGTTTTAGAAGGGTGTTTACCCTGTGAGTCTTATCTTCCTGTACATAAGTAATCTTTATTTCATTGTGGGTTTTTGATTTGGCCACTAGAGATCTTGATGACAAGCTACTTATAAGGCCTGGGTCCAGTACCATCTTTCCAACCCGAAATTGGCCAAACCGAGCCCTGGAGCTTAGTACATCATCTCTGTCACATACAGTACAGTCTGCCAGGAGGCGTAATCCCCCACCACGTACCCTTCATCCGATCAGCTCAAGCCATTCCCGCACTGGAACGCCAAGACTTGTGGAAGAAATTCTCAGAGGATCCCGAGTGTAGGTTTCAAAAGCAGAATTGCCACCATATGGTAAAACTAATGAATTTTACATAGAGAATATGAAATCTATGCCTAAACTACTTGCTAAGTAATCATTTATGGATTGTCCCTGGGTTTAGAGCACATACAGAATTTTTTAAGTGGGGTTAAAATTTAATGAAATAGATACTGGATATGTGGATTTAGCTTAAGATTTATATTTCTAAAATATATAATACCCTAATTTTCCAAAATCCTTTGAGATCCCTTAAAAATATTGGTGGCATAAAGATTTCTGTGCACATTTAAGCTCCTCTATTTCATTTGTTTCCTAAACCATTCATTTCATGCTTTCATTATTCAATTTCATGCTTTTGCATCTTGGTGTTTGCTGATGGATCTAAAGCCCAGCTGCAGCAGACTCCTTTTCTCCTTCACCAATGCCACTGAGTCGGAATAACCTGCTGCCACCTATCGGTACAGCTGAAGTGGAACATCTGAGCGCTGCAGGGCCACCAATGCCATCGGTCAGTCTCACTGCCTTTCCATGTGCTCAAGGGCAGTAATTCTGCAGTATTTGTGTTCTGGTTTTAATTTATACTGTACTATCAAAAGTGCAGACTGTCTTCTAATTTACGACAGCAGAACTGGGGACACATGCAGTTCCCACCAGTCTTAAGTCATTGTCTCCTTTGCAGAAACCCCACAGCCAAGGTGATCCCAGTAGAGCTCGAAGTGCAGTGATGGATGAGCCTAACCATCAGCAGCCCCAGGAAAAGATCCTCCTACCTGACTTTTCCAGACCCAATACAACTCAGTCATTTCTGGTAAAGTGACCTGTTTCCTATTTTCTCTTGATAGCTGGAGAAAGAAGTGGGGGAAAAATACTAGTTTGTAAAGCCTAACATTTTATCTAGTGGCTTAACTCCAAGAATAAAAGTTGCGGTTCCAGTGATTAAAAAAATAGCATTGTAAGCCTATTTTTGTTGAAATTCAAATTGGTCCTTGCTCATTTTTTCAGACTTATAAGTTACAAATTCTAAAGAATTTAAATATTTTTGAGCACAAGCAAAAACAGTAAACCCCAGTATGTATTATATGAGCCTGACCTCCCTGTCTCCCTGCTCTCATGGAATTGTTTCAAAATAGCATCAGATTGAGGAGACTGGTAGAAGGGTTAGGATTTTTCCTGCTGGTGTTTAAAGACTGATGTCTTCCCATTTACTATGCAGTTACTCATCCTTTTATTTTTAAGCAAAACACACACACACACACACAAGCAGCAGCAGCAGCCTGATTGGGAACCAGGGGGCCATGCACTGACCTGGCCCACCTGTACATCAGGGACACAGCCCACCTCATCTACTCAGAAGCAGGGCTTCCGGAGCTAGGGGATTGAGTGACTGGAGTCACAGTGCCTTTAAAACAAAGGCCTCATACCATGCACCAGCTTTGCAAAAGGTCCCCGTTTATCCCAACTCATGCCCTTCAACTGTGTCAGCCTTAAGTACTGTAGTCTATTCTGTTAAAACTGATGAGTACATGGAGGGGCTTTCCTGGTATTGCCTAACAAATGACAAACTGGGTGGCATAAAACTACTTTATTCTCATTTCCAGAGGCTTAAGTTCCAAATTATGGTGTTGGCAGAGTCAGGCTCCTTCTGCAGACTCTGGAGTCTTTCCTTGCTTCTTCCTAGCTTCTGGGAGTTGCCTTCTTGGCTTGCAATTCAAGCACTCCAATATTCACCTCATCTTTACAATGTCCTGCAATCTTGTGTGCTTATGTCCAAGTCCTTCCCCTTACGTTTTGTTGTTGTTGGGTGTTTTTTTTGTTTGTTTGTTTGTTTGTTTTTTGTTTTTTTTTGCAGTACCAGGGATCAAACTCGGAACCTTGTGCTTGCCAGGCAGGCACTTAAGCCACTGGGCTATTTCCCCAGCCCCCTTTTTCTTATAGATACAATCACTGAACCCAGGGTCCACCCTGATGCAGTAAAATTTCACCATCTTTTTTTTTTTTTTTTTTTTAAGACAGGGTTGTACTATATAGTTCAGGCTTGACTTAGAACTCCCTATGGAGGGGCCAGGGAGATGGCTCAGTAGAATAAGTGCTTCCCTGGCAAGCGCAAGGGCCCGAGTTCAATCCCCGGTTCTGCCAAAAAATAAAAAATAAAAAAGAACTCCCTATGGAGCCCAAGCTGTCCTGAAACTAGCAGTGACCCTCCTGCTTCAGCTTCCCAAGTATTGGGATTATAAGCATGACCAACACACTGGGTTCTTCACCAGGATTTGATTATACCTACAAAGGTCATATTTCCAAATATAGACACACTCACAGATGGCCATGAATTTTGAGGGTACACCAATAGACATCATCAGGTATAATTTAAGAAAACACTCCAGTGAAAACAAAGGCAAAACTACAAGCACTTCTGATTTCTTGAACCCCAAAAAGCCTGAGAACATTTATTGATTTGGTTATCTCATAATTTGATCCAGGTGACATTTGTTAAACAATGTTGATAACTGTATAGCTATATTTTCAAAATTTAATTTTGGTTGCCTCAAGAATAAAACTGAACCCATGAAAACCTTTCAAAGGCTAAGGTTTCAAAATCTAAATAAATTTCTAGCAACAACAAAGAATTATATATCCTAGCCATTTTTCTCCCTAATTGCTGTCATTAAAAGGAAACTGGGCAAATAGTTCAATGTAGTTAAGAGTGCTACTTCCACTAATGAAGCAAGCAAGCTAGCTGAGCCCTGGGGCCTCATGGAGGGAGGGAAAGACTACTATTACACCACTGTGCCCATCAATGCTTTCTGTAGAACAAGGATCAGTAAAATACAGCTCACAAGTTTTTCAACCTCCCACCTGTTTTTGTAAATAAAGGTTTATTTCAGCAGAGTGACCAAAAGCTCATTTGTCTGTGGCTGCTTTTCAGGTTACAGCAAAACTGATTTGTTGCCATAACCATGAAATGACAACAAAGCTGTATTATCTGTCCCTTCACAAAGAGTAAATTTCCTGAACCATAATTTCTAGAATATGTGGCTTCACTAAAAAAAAATTTCTGTCTTCCCCAATTGCAATGCTCTGACAGAGAATTAAGGGGAATTTCTTTTCACTCTAGGAGTCTAGCAGGATGGCATATTTTCTTCATTTTTCATAAAGCTAAAAATGTTTAAAGTTCAATTTCAATGTGGTAAAGTCTATCACTACTACTGAAAAGGTGAGTTGTTTCTTAAAACCACAAAAAAGTGAGAAATCAGGTAAAGTTCCCTTGGAAGCTAAATGAAATATTAAGCTGTTATAAATATTGCCAAGTTGTCTTAAAGACATATAAATAAAATTGTAGAATGTATAATTTTCACAAGTTAGCAAGTAGCTCTAGTTATCTTTTTCTTTAGAATTCTATACAGTGCCCTCAGCTCACTTTTTTCTCAGGTTGTGATTAGCCTTTTGCATTACTGCCAATTTCACATTCCCCTCTGCAAACCTTAAGTACCCTCCTGTGGGAGAAGCAGCATGTAAGGTGTCTCTCTTTTCTCTTAGCCGGACACGCAGTACCGTCAGGCGCGTGCAGCTGAGTGTCCTCATCAGGTCCGACCTGGCAGGGGAGCCACAGGTGCAGGTGCGGCAGCAGCTCGATCTTACTGCTCTGGTTACATGTTAAACTCCTACCTCCATCTTTTTCTCTCCCTTTCAATACACTTCTCTTCCCTTCCTCTACATTATCTTGGGTTTAGTTTTCCTACCTATGTGGAAATCACCTAAATTCATTTTGGAAAATGGGATACAATAAAGAGTTCAATTTCTCAAACCAAAACCAAACTTCAGCTTTTTTTTTTTCCTTCATGCCATGTAAATTAATCTTTCACTACTCTGGTAAACTTCACCTTTTTTTAAATCTAAAAATTTGAGCAAAATAACACCTAATATATTCTTTAAAAATACAGCATGGATTTTATTATGTAAGCAAAGCCTATAGTGCCATGAACTAAACTTCTTTTCACTGTCAGGCAGGCCAAGGCAAGAAGTTCTAAAATGTAAGGATATAGTGCATCCTATTTTAAGTTTTTAATCTCTTAATTATATTCTCTGTAAATTGTATTAACAAAGAAGTAATGGGAGAAAAATAGAAGGATGTCCTAACTCCTTCACAACCGTCTTCTCACCACCCTCAGGGTTTTATTATGTTGTAGGTGAAATTTAGAAGTACTGAGCAGTAGAAATGTTTCCTGTTTATGATAAAATTAGCAAATATAGTAAAAAGCTAATCTTCCTCAAGCCATTTGTAGTGTAGTCCAACCGATTCAGTTCAGTTCCTGGTAGCACTGATCATTTTTGTGTGGATTTTTTTTTTTAATTTTTATCAGTATGTGTCTGTATATCTTCCTTTGTTCATCGCCTCTTCTTTCCCTCCATCTCTTAAACCCCTTCCCATTTAAGAGCTACTTGCCTACTTCCTATTATCTCATCAATTAGAATGGATCACACACGACCAGTTTTCATCAGGTGTAACTAATGTCACATTTTGGTGAGCAAACACACCTGAAGCCTTTCTAATTATGGGGCTCTTAAGCAAAAGCAGGTTTCTACTTTCATTTCTGAAAACATAGGTCTGTTTAGTATTTTTATAGGATAAAATATATAAACTTGGTTTGTCACGTCTTGGCAAATATATGCTTTACTACTTACTCCCATTCTTGAAATTTAAAACTCCAACTGATAATTGGGGCAAAAAGTCCTAAAATCTGCTGCAACCACCACTAAAGAGCACAGCTCTGAAAGGAAAAAATCCTAAAACACAAACTTTGATAATTATCACCAAATCTGTGCTGTTTACTAATGTTACTCTGATATTTTCTGTCTGACAGGTTCACAGTTACATGGCTCTACAAAATCTCAAAGCAGGGGTGGACCAGTGTCTAGAACCAGGCAAGGACCATAGGGCAAATGAGAAGAACCTAAGAGGCTGCAGCAAACACATGAGATCTCGTGAACCAGTGTTCAGTCACTGAGTGAGTACCACTTGTGTACAAGGTCAGCTTGAACCTATCTTCACGAAGTTATTTTGGAGTAACTGACTAATAATGTATCTGCCAAAGACCGCACAGGTATGGTCTCCATCTCCAGTTACAGTCTTCCTTCAGCGTAAGTTACCTCTTCCACTGGACAGTGAAGACTGTACCCCAGATGTAACAATGAATGATTACCTTCAATCACTGCTCATGTTATCTGTTAATAATGATCAGTCCAAGTATTATAGGATTCAGTGGCATTATATAAACACAAAAAGAAGCAAATTCACTGGCTTCAGAATTCTTCAGCTAGTACTAATTTCTGGAGAGCTACACTCAATTTCAAGTCAACTCATTTGTAGGAAGTAGTGTTATCGAACTCTGACCTACTCACCAAATAAATGTCATTCCTAAAGCTTTCCCCTTACATGTCCAATCCTATTGCCAAGATGAAACAGAAGGGTTGAGTACAGAATAAGCATTGGTATAAAGTAATGTGAGTAAAAATTAAATTGCATTGGGGGCTGGCTCAGCTCGCCCTGAGGGCACAGCTGGCAGGGCCTGTGGTACCAGGGATCAAACTGCAGTCCCCTGTGCCGCCTAACCTTGCCTAAGCAGACGCTCTAGACTGCTGAGCTATCTTGCCGGCCCCCTGCATATACTTTTTGATTGGATAGCTCAACCTTACATAATCCTGCCTCATAGCAGGTTATGCATAACTTCTTAAAGTATTCTACTCATCATTCTGGGAATCTTCCCCAGAATACTTGCCTTGACAGATCTTTTGCTAAAGGTTTAAAAGTTATAATTTGTAAAATCTTATATTTTGAGCCATAATGGTATAATTCCTTAAAAAATTTAAACTATGGCAATTAGCCCATTATAAATAACTTATCCTAAGGGCAGTAAGAACAGAGAACTTAGGCAATCTTCTGATTTTTATTGTGAACTCACAAATATAGCAATAACCTTAAATGTGGATTAAGTTATCTTATCTAAATTTCACTGATTATCACACCAGTTTTAGATATTAATTAACAGTGAACTGTAATATAAATTGAGGTGACTTTTAAACTATACCAGTAGGGCTGGGGGCATAGCTCAGTGGCACAGCACTTGCCTGGCAAGTGTGAGGTCCTGTTGTCTCACACTTTGATTTCCTCACAGTTTGATTCCCAGTACCACCAAAAAAATAAAATAAAAAATAAACTATACCAGTTTTCTAATGCTATATTATATGAAGACAAGATTCAAACCTACATTTTATTTTTAATATGATTAAAGAGTATTTTTAACTTTTATCAACTACAAACTGAAAATGTATCATGCTTATTTCTAAATTATGATACATGTTTAATGGCAAAAGAAAGCTTTTATGTGTTATTGTGTATTGACTATAGTAGTTTACAATCAAGATTTTTTTTTTTTAATCACTGGAAATGAACTCAGGACCTTGGACTTGGCAGACATGTGCTTGTGCCACTGAGCTACATCCCTGGCCCAAAATTAAAGATTTTAAGTTAAACAGTCCTTTTAAAATCCCATATATGACAGTGAAGACATACCACCAGCACATCTAAATAGAAATAAAAATCTTTGTATTATTCTCAGGCATCAGTACCATGACTACATTGTAACAGTGATCTGAATGGCTTGCCTTTCAAAGTGAGAGTCAGCTGTCTCCAAACAGTGATCTAGCCCACTCTGTTTTTACTCATCTGTGTCCTCTCAAAGCTAGTGAAGCTTGTTTCTTAAAAACAAAACCAGGGCTAGAGAGAGAGCTCAGTACAATAAGCGCTTCCCTGGCAAGCGCAAGGGCCTGAGTTCAACCCCCGTTCCACAAAAAAAAAAAAAAAAAAATTATGTGTCTGATATTACAAGATGGGTAACACTTTTACAGAGGAGAAAACAAGTTCATAGCTGGGCAAATATAAATCTCTTTATGCAGACTATTATAATGCTGGCTAGAAATTTTTAAAAATCTTGTCTATCCAAAACACCATTGTATTTCTTCTCAATCACAATTTAAATGATCAATGAGATCATTTAAAAAGCCACCAGTACTTTTTTTCTTACTTGTTTATTCAGTTACACCCAAGTTACAAAAATGTTTGAATCTGTATTCTTGTTTCTTTCATACTTTAAGGATAAAGATAAGAGCACAAAACCTGGCTAATAAAATAAAAAAGTCTATTTAAAATCATTAGAACCAAAAGCAAGCTGGCAATTATTTGGAAGACAGCCAGCTGTCAGTATTCTGAACGTTTAGCCAGGTGGAGTACTGTTCTACTGGGCACGCATAGCACTGAAAGCAGATGGACAGACCCACCTTCTAAAGGGAGCTCCCAAGGCAGAAGACCCACGGAGGGCAACGCACTGCCCGCCCGAATATCACCCGCCCAGTTCTCTGTGTGAGGACTTCTGAGGATGTCAGGTGATTTCTAGGATGCCTCAGATCAGGTTGAGAAATTCTGCTTGGTCTGGTTGATTTAAGTTGTTTAGGCTAGAAAGACAACTTCTCTTAAGGGGCACATGAACTTTGCCTTCAGATCCTGAGTGCACATTGTCTACACCAGCACCAACTGATGCCTTAGGACCTTTGTTGAGAAAAATTCCATTACTTCTTTTCCTTCTTGAGGGCTGATTTCTTCCCTCCTCCTTTGGAAGGTTTGCAATATTTTGCTTCCATTTGAGCCAGAAAACTGTCCATTTCCTTTTGCCGATCCTTCTGTCTGTTCTGTTTGAGAAGTTAAAATATAGCTTTCAAAATACACTTGACAGAGACAGAAAATACTTAATGATTACCAGGGATTGGGGGGAAAAGGAACATGGGGAATGATGCAAGTGGATATGGGTTTTACTGTAAATGGAGACAGTATTCCAGAATAAGATAGTGGTAACAGCTGTACAACTGAGTGTATTAAACTGTACATTCCTTGTCTTCATTTTTTTTTTTTTTTTTTTTTCTCCTGCTGTACTGGCTTATGATTGAACCCACCTTTGCTATTTTTAAATTTTTTATTTTGAGAGAGGTTAGGCTCAAACTTGTGCTCTTTAGCCTCAGCCTCTCAAGAGTGCTGGGGTTAAATTTGGGTACCACCATACTCAGCCCCAATCTGTACATTCTTTAAAAATACAAGATGGTGTGAGTTACATCTTAAAAAAAAAAATACAGTACCATACACACACACCAAACAGACTGTCAGCAAATAGGAGTCAGACGATGAAAGAAGTGGCAAAACAACCTAGCAAGTTTACCTGAATGAGTGCTTTCAAGTTACCGGCTCCTTCATCAAGGCCCAACTCCTTCCTGCTCATTTCTGCTTCTTTGGCTTCAGCCTGCGCCTGAAATAAACTCTTATGAGACAAGAGTTTAACCAAGCTTAAAATACACTGTATTCCTTTCAATTTCAGGATTGTATGAATCCATTATGTAAATAAAATTACACAAATATATCATTCATTAGAAAAAAATAAATATTGCTGACAGCAAGCCACAAATTCCTCTTAAAAGCATTTTTTTCACTCCATTTCTACTTGCTGTCGGTAGTGGAATTAAAAACCACAAAGTGACAGAAAGGAAAACAATATGCAAGACAGCCAGGAAAACTAAGCGTGGCAACATATGCCTGTAATCGAAGCACATGGGAGGTAAGAGAGCACAGAGACCATCCTGGGGGCTACAAAAGTGAGCACAAGGCCAGCTGGAACTGCACAGGGAGACCCTGTCTGGGGGAAAAAAAAAAAAAAAAAAACAGGAAAGACACAACCAAGGATATCCTCAAAAAGATGCCAACCAGGTATGGTGACACTCAACTGTAATCCCAGCACTCAGAAGGTTGAGGCAGGAAAATAGCTGCAATTCTGAGGCCAACCTGTGTTCCACAGAGTTCAAGGGCAACCTGAACTACACAGCAAGACCCCGACTCGAAAAAGGGGTGGGGGGTAGTGGGATTCCAACACACGGGCACTGTGGAATCCTCCTCTAGCAACCCCACTGACTACATGACAATAATGACAGCCATGTAAATAATCCTGGCTTACAATGACTTCTCCAGAGTATCAAAAGAAACATTAACAAATGCAGGTTTTACTTTTCTTTTACTGATTTCAAAGCTGATCTATTGACCATATTTCCCAAAATACCACAAGAGTATCTTAGGATACCAACTATAATAATTGGCCCTGACCCTTGCTGAATTTTCTAAGTAGCAAATATTGGGAGGGACAGCAGCCAGGAACATAGCTCAGCAGCATAAGTGCCTGCCTGGCAAGCACAAGGTCCTAAGTTTGATCCCTGGTTCCGAAAATAAAGAGAAAATAATACTGATAACGGGCCAGCCAAATAGCTCAGTGGATTAAAGTGCCTGCATGCAGGTATAGGGGCCAGGGGTTCGATCCCTGGGCCTGCCATGACAGCCCTGGGGCGAGCTGAGAAGGTGATTAAGACTGGGCATAGTGGTGCACGCCTGTAATCCCAGCTCTTGGGAGGCTGTAAACAGGATGATCACTACAAGTCCAATCTAGTAGTGAGACTTTGAACACCCTGGAGACCTTTCCTAAAATACAGGGGAAAAAAAAAAAAAGATATGATGATGAGGATGAGGATGATATTGGGAGAGTTAACAAATTAGAATCTTGTACCAATAGAGATAATTTTTTTTTTTTATCTCAAAATTCAGCATCCCTCTCTCCCCAAATTGGGTGGAGAGTCTCTAATCAAAACAGTTGTTTCCCTTCAAACTCCAAGGTATTTCCTCAAACTAGTATCCTAAAATTGAATATAGCTGTGCTCAGTTTCACTGAAAAAAATGATTTCGTATGAGTCTGCATTTAAACAGATGTAGCTCATGAAGCAAAGACAACCTTGACATACGCTGCATTCATTCCACTTCTGCCTACAGCTCAACACAGAGATGGCATGGCCTTTTATCCAGGCAACCCGGTCCTTTAAACTTTCACCAAAACAAAAAGGTCAGTTTTCTCTGTGTGTTAGCGTTTATCTAAGAGCTGCAGGCCTCTCCACATCCAACTGCAGGAACATAAAGTCATCTCAAAATTGTATATTTTGGATCCAACCCAAGAATCAATCTGAGCAAAAGCTTAAGAATCTCCACCTTTTAAAAACTGTGAATTATATTTTTCAAGTTTAATTATCTGCACCTTTTTTTTCACTACTGGAAATCCAGTGCTGGGCAATGGGTCCACCACTAAGCTATACCCCCTCAACCTGCACTTTTAACAAACACTGACTCTATCATTGTCTCTGTCAATCAAGTTGGCCCATATAAAAAAAAAAAATTAAGTCATTTTAAGATTACACTGAACAATTCATGCAGAAAATCTTGAGCACTGCATACCAAAATAAAGAGATTTTTCTTGAAGAACAAGTATGCCCATTTAATTAAATGAGAGTTATCGATCAAGCTAACCCTAGTGCCTATTTCAGTGGTCTTTTGTTTATTTCCACTGTTGTAAATACTTTCAAATCGTGCGGAAGCTGGGCTGGGATGTAGCTCAGCAGCACAGCACCTGGCTGGCAAGTGTGAGGCCTGAGTTCAATTCCTGGTACCTAAAACAAATCATGTAGGAGCTATTAAAAAAAAAAAAAAAAAAAAAAAAAAAAAAAAAAAAAAAAAAAAAAAAAAGATGACAAGAAAAGTCTGGAGACTATTACTGGACAAGAAGAGAACAGGAAGCCAGGAAGAGTGGTATAAAGGTGGACAATGGGACAAGGGTGAGAATATACTATACATATTGAACCTCCTCTTGAATGTGAAACTAGGAAGAGAAGCTGGGTGATGAGAGGGTGAAAATCATCAAAATATTTTACATGTACCATCCTGCCAAAATGAAACCCATCAGTCTGTATAAACAGTTTTTTGGGTTTTTTGTTTTACAGTTTGAAGAAAAAAAAGATACAAGTCACAGATAATATAATCCTTACCCTTCTCTTCCTTGCATTCATTTTTTGTTTTGATTCTTTGACAAAGGCATTATAGGCTGGGACCTCTCCAGCATCAATAGCTTGCTGGATGATGTTCCTTATCCTGGGTTCCTCTGTGTACTCCACACACAGCACAGACTCCATGATCTGATTCATGTCACCCTTGAAATCCAGGTAGGCCTGTTTAATATCGGCCAGCTCTTCCTCAGAGCCTTTGTAAGTCTTTTCAAAAGCTTGAATGTCTTCTAGAGATATCTGATGATAAAGATACATTACTTTAACTTCAAGAATTTTAAATAAAAAGCTACACTAGTAAAACACAAGATTTAAGTGTTGAAATGCTTCTCTCCTGATACAACAGTTGGCTTGAATTGAAACTGTCACAACTAAATCTCCTATGCCTAAGCTTTTCCATCCTTCTCCCTAAACCGACCTTTACAATGACTAAACTGAGGACCATCTAAGCAAAATTTAAATGAAGTTTCTAAGATAGGAAGATACTTAAACATTCAGATCTTTGACTTGGATGTGCAAAATAATGCACAGGCTGAAGAAAAATCAACCCCTTTCACTGCGACAATCATCCAGAAAGCAATGAAAGACCCACTTCGGTTAGTGTGTTGTGTATATTCAACGAACATAATTAAATCTTTCAACTTCGTTAATAAAGAATTCAAGGGGCTGGAGAGATGGCTCAGTGGTCTAAAGCACCTACTTGAAACAAGCATGGCAAAGCACAGGGACCTCGGTTCGATCCTCCAGCACCACATGCCAGCCAGACCCGCCCCCTGGTGGGCTGAGCTGGCCACACACACACACACACACACAATAAATAAATGTAATAAATAAAACTAAATAAAAGAGAATGTAGCTGTATATCTATCTTTAAAAAAAAAAAAAATTCAAGACGTGCGGCGCCCCGCAACCAAACGGCGCCAGTCTGAACAATAGGAAACGTCACGGAGAAAGTTCCACAGCCCCCACCTTCTTAAAGAGTAACCTCCAGTACGCCTCCCAGTCCCGGTCTTGGTTGAGCACTGAGGAGTCCTCGTCCACTGTTCCCTGCTCATCGTACACCGCTCTCTGCTCCTTGTCACTTAGAACGGCATAGACTCTGCCCAGTATCTGAGGAAGAAGAGCATCCAAGTCACCTCTGTAACCCCCACTGAAACCGCGCCGCGACAAATAAAGGTTAGAAAACGCCGGGCCGCGCACTGCGCTCCCGCGGTGCCGGGAGCCAGGAGTCGGAATCGAGCGGACCTGGAAGCGGCGGGTGGCGTCCTCCTTGTTGTCCTCGTCCACTCGGTCAGGGTGCACCCGCAGGGACACTTTGTGGTAGCCGCGTCGGACCTCGCCGTCCGAGGCCTCGCGCCGCACGCCCAGCACCCGGTAAAGGTCGGCGGTACCAAACTCTTGCTCGCACAGCTCCAGCAGCCCCATGTTGGGCCCGGGATGAGATTCGCGAACACACACGGTCACGGCGCCACCAACACCAGCGCTGCCCGACTTTCTTTTCCCCGCTCAAAAAGCCCAGGGCGCCTGCGTCACAAAACGCGCGGGATCACGCACGCAGTACGTGTTACGGCGGCCCAGGAGGGGCGTGGACAGGAGGCGGCGGGAACCAGCTTAGTGCTCATGGTTGCAGCTCCCGGGTCTCAGAGCTGCAAGAGTCCGCGACCCTGAAGTTCCCACCATACCTCTTGCATGCGGCCCTCAAACCCTTACTCTAGAAATATTACATCTGTCTTACCCTCAGTGTCCCGGCACAGAAATATCTATTGATATATAGAGAATCCCCATACCAGGTTACACTAATAAGTGGAATTTTTTTATGCAAATTGGTCAAATAGCATTCATCAGTTACACATGGCTCAACCTAACATTTTAATAGATCTGGATTTTCTTTTTTCTTTTTTGGCAGAACCGGGAATTGAACCCAGGCCCTTGGGCTTGCCCGGGAAGCGTTTATTCCACTGAGCCATCTCCCCGGCCCCTAGATGTGGATTTTCAAAGATGATGCTCAAAGCAGTAACTGCAACCATAGGTTGGAACTGCTGGGGTACCTTCCTCTAAACTCTGAAGGAGGAAAAGAACTGTCTACTAAACAAAAAGCACAAAACACCAGTCTTAGTTTTAAAAACACTTTATCTAAACTTTGTCTCCTTCCTGCCCCCTTCACCTTACCTACTGACTCAACGTGACCCTAATAAAAAACCTCAACTGCTGAAACAGGTCTGTACGATATTGTAAAATTCAACATGCTCTGAGCAAATCGATGTGAGCTGACAGGTGGGCTGACAAATCATCCATGACAGGGTGGAAAACTTGGGCCTGGAGATAAAAAAAAAAAAAAAAAAACAGGTGACAATGGAGAAAGGGGAAAGCTTTGGAAACTAAGATAAACTACCACTAGGTGTATGGGTACATACACCTGAGACAATAATCCAGCATGCAAAGTGAGTACCTCAGCTGGAAGAAATTCAACGATACTTAAAATAATATGTGTCCTATCAATTCCTCTTACTGGTCAAGGCTTTGCAGTCATACTATCCTCTGCCTATAGGGTTCTGCAAAGCCTTAGACTCCCCAGGATATTCTAGTGTCTTACAAATTCCTTGAGTTGGCAGGGTTTTCAAAGCCTTTCTCCAATCCAAGCTCAAAGCCATCAAAAGTTAGTTCCTCTCCCTGTCCTGGTTTCTGTCTCCTCAAAACAAGTGGAGATCAACCAACAACACTGGTGAGCCTTGACAATTCCAGAATTTAGGGTGACTAATTATTGTTCTCTGAATATAGAACCTATAAAATCAGTTGGAACATTGATAGACATTGGAACACTCTCCATAAATTTCCTGTATCTCATTGTTATGCCAGAATTTGAAATCTGTATTACCCAAACTGTGCAGTAAAACAATGTAATTCATGTAAACAGTGTTGAATTATGCAGTTTTGGTGAGACAAACAGTATGTGTGGTTTTGGCCCAAATGGTCACTTACATAACTAAACCCATGATACTACAGGTAAGATCCTACCACTGACACGTTTGTACCTAAAGAGTAAAGAGAACTAAGAGTGTGCTACATCGCTTGGCTTGTTAACTATTCCGAGAGGGTCTAAGTTATGCTCACTCGTCTTGAATTTGCAACCCCTTGTGCCTCAGCCTCCCAAGTAGCTGGGATTACAAGCATGCTTAACTACACCCAGCTACTACTAATTTTGTAAGACCTCTGAAACCCTTCCATCTTTATTTTTCCCAACATAGATATTATGCTGGAAAGGAGTTTCCAGGTAGCCATGTTAGTGCCTGAATCTTATACCTCTGGGCAAGCTTCTACCTCCCTAACCATAGCTTTCTCATCTGGAAAATGAAGAGAATCCTCCTACCTCAGTATTTCATGATCCTCTATTTTATGATCCTCATAAATATTCTTGCTCATAAAAGGTGCAGAGATTTATGTGGGTGCTCTACAACATTAGCTTTCTTCTAATTTCTCACTCTTAAAATATAGGCTGTTGTGCCTACTTAGGCAGACGCAGGGGTCAGGATTCGATCCCGCCCCTCTGAGACAGTGATTGAGACTGGGCGTGGTGGCGCAAGCCTGTAATCCCAGTGCTTGGGAGGCTAAAAACAGGAGGATCACTATGGGTCCGATCTGTGTAGGCTGTCACAGACCAAAAGCAGCTTTAATAA